GAGCCTGATTTGGTAGCGTAAGTCTGAGGATAAGATGTCGCTCAGAGCGGTTGCGAGTTTGCAATCGGTGCTCTCAAAGTCTCCACTGTCTTGTAAATCCTCGAATGTACAGTCGGGCTGTTCTGCCACGCATAGGAAGGCGTATGCTTTGGATGGTCGCCCTGAGGCGGCCCCAAAGTTCTTTCGCACTCTTTGCTGCCACTCCAGCAGCTGCGTGATCTTAGGCAAGACAGGTACTCGGACGGTGTCTGACTCCTTGATAGGCGTCGTTGTATGTACCGACACCGCAGACACTGGTTGTGAGGGTATCGGTGCACCGTCGATGGTTGGTTCTGTGCGCACAGGAGACACATGACGTGTCTGTGCAGAAGCTGCCGCGGAGGCTGCTCCTGGAGATGTACGTCGTTGTTGTCCTGCTGAAGCTTGTGGTGCTTCGGCGGACGCTGCCGTCGGCCTGTGCAGGTCGGCTGCAGGTCGAAGGTGAATGTTGGTGTCGTTAGTGTGGTCGATCAGCTGATTGGTCCAGCTCGTCATGTCTTCTTGTATTTGACCCACCTTTTGGCGTGTATACTCATCAGTATCCCGAGACCGTTGGGAATACCGATCAAGTCGATGCTCGCATGCTCGGAGACGGGCGCTTTGTGCCTCCACCTCGCTTTCCAGACGTGCGAGGTAACTCTCTACACGTACCTTCTCAGTATCTCTTTCATGAATAACCTGGGAGAGCTCTAACTGCGTGTGGTCCGCCGCCTTCTCAACCTCCTGCAACCTGTCAGTGAGGCGGGCGAAATCGTAAACCGTGGGAGGAGAATCCAGCTGGCCAGTCTGGGCTCGTCCGACACGCAACTCTGCCAGGGCGTCCTGTACACCAGGAAAACGCTGCTCTATGTCAGAGATCCGGTTAGCGAGTGGCTGCACGACAGCGTTGGTCGCATCAAGCCTTTGAGTGATGACTCTCTCAGTACGCTGCAACATGTCGATCAGGTTCGACGAGTTTGTGTGTGCTTCGGTACGAAGCGTCGCCGTAGTGTGGTCTAGGTAAGATCGAAGATCATTGATCTGAGACTGAACGTCGCCGAGGTCTGTGGCCTCGGTTGGAGTTGGTCGGTTACGGAGCTGGTCGTGGATCTCATCATGTAAAATCCTGACCGCAGAAATGCCTGTGTCGCGTACGATCACAAGTTGTTGCTCCATCTGCGCAAGATAGTTGCGCAGGTTCTCGACCATCGCCGTTCGTTCACCTGAGTGTGACACCTCACGATCAACCTGGTACTGCAGTTCTCCTATGATGCGTCGATCTTCGGCGATCCTGGAATCGATGATCCCTAAGGCGCCGTCAAGATCGCGGCGTATGGCTGCAGTGTCAGTGGCGTTCGTCTGAACGCTCTGTAGTAGTCCAGAGTATTGGCTGGACACGAAGGTTTCAACCTGGTCTCTGAGCTCAGCTATGTCACCTGCGGCGGACGTCTCCGCCAGCTGGTCGTCTGAGATGGAGAGGTGGGGAGCGTCAGCTTCCCTGTGTCCCCTGTCGCGGGGAGTGCATGGCCTCTGAGAGGCAGTGCGCGGGCTCGACCTGCTTTCGCCGTATGGGCCTGGGGCTCCACGGCGGTTGCGCGCGGACGAGCTGCGACTCGGACCATGTGTGTGTGGTGTCTCATCCGATGATACCTTGGGGTACCGCGTCTGTGGCTGTGCCGACACTGGTCTACTGAGTTCCTCGAAGGTAGCTACGTGCTCCGCCACAGGGACGGTCGCAGGGCTGGGGGTTCCAGCACCTGAGGTCCATCGGCGGTTAGCGCGAAAGCGCCCTGGAGTATCGAGACCGGTAAGGCTTTCGCCTGACGCGGTTGGGATTGCTCCCGACGGGGAAGGGGAGGGAGGATCGAAGGTCGGCGTGTGAAACTCCTTCCTTCCTGTTCCTACTCCTTCTCCTGTCCCCCCGCGGGCGGCGCTGCGGCGAAGTTCAGCAGCTAGACGCGCCTCGGGTCCTCGGGAGCTGGGGGGGGGGGGGGTATCGGGGACACCAACACAGTCCGCACTAATGCTCTCCAACTCGTCACCGAGCCGTCGCACCGTGGGAGAGCTTGGACGCGAAGCCCCAATGGAACCCTTACGGCGCATGCGCCGAAGTGGCTCCATCAGGCTCGCATGCAAGGTCACCGCGGGCGAGTCGGTGAAGGTGAGCGTTAAAGGGCTGATAACCTGTGTATGGGGTTGAAGTACAAGGGTACAGAACCCCTGGTCCGTTGGTAGAGAGATGGAGGGATAGATGGATATCTTTCCCTCCCACGCGATCAAGGTACGATCGCTCCAACTCAGTACCTGAGCCCAAACGGCCAGGTGCGGGAGAGGTAAGGATAAGGAGTATATATGAGGGTATTACACGGGTTCCTTCCACAATGCTCGAGCCCGTCATCGAGGTCCTTCAGAAGCTTCGGGGAGAAGAAAGGTTCACGGCGGCCACGGGACTTGCTGGGATCGTTTCAGGAGGCTACCCAACCCAGCTGACCCTGTATGATGATCGTCGTGTTGTGGACCCCCTCTGCCAGCTTTGTGGAGAGCGGCTGGGCACGCCCAGTCATCGCTTCCGCTGCTGCCCAGCTCATGCCGCTGTTCGGCGTGATCTAGATGTGGGCGACCTTCTTGCCTTGGAATGCACGCCCGCTAATCAGTTGCTGGTCACCCGTGCGCTTGCCCCGAGTCCAGAGTGGCAGTGGCCAGCGCCGCACACCGTAGCTGGTCACAAGTGGGATGTGTTTCCTCCTGGGGGACACCTGGGGCCGAGAATATGTCTGGATGGGTCTGGATTGGACCCCAAGTTACCTCAGTTCACGAGGGCTGGATGGGCGGTCGTCTCCATGTCTCTGGACTCTTGGGGAGGTTATGTTACTGGGTCTGCGTTCGGACCGCTGCCCCACGCGGTCCAGACCAGCGGCTGCGGGGAAGTGTATGCGCTGGTCATGGCTTTGAGGCTCGCGGGGCCAGAGGCCATGGAGATCGTCACAGACTGTAAGGCCGTCCTGGACACCTGGACATTGGGACCTACTCAGGATCTGGAAAAGGTTGCTTTCTCGGAGCTCTGGGTGGACATTTTCAGGCTCGCGACTGAGATCGGCCCCGATAGGATAACTGTGACTAAGATTAGGTCTCACCTCTCCCTGGCCCAGGCCCGTAGGTTAGCAGTAGACGATTGGAAATGGCGGGGTAATAAGAAGGCTGATGAACTGGCCCGTCGTGGAGCCGAGGCCCAACCCCATAACCCTTGGACGCGTGTGCAGTTTAAAGGTTTGGAGCCTCTGATTCGGCAGTCGGCATGGCTGATTGCAGAAATCATGGATGATTTATCGGCCCGTGGTTTTCCTGACGTTTCCAAAATCCGCAGGCCCCGTCGGGCCAAGCCGTCTCTCCTGGAGCTGGTCCCAGACCCGAGAGGCCATGCGGTCGAGTGTTTAGCAAAAGGTTCATATTTGTGTCTCCACTGCGGCGAGCGAGGGAAGACTCGCGCCGCGGTCTGTGTGTTTCCCTGCGGAGGGCCACCAAAAATTGCGCGGACCTGCCACAAGAGCCATCGTGTGTGGCTGATGGGGGGGAGGGTTGCCTGGTGTGTGCGTTGCGCTGCTTTTGGAAGCGCTCGGGCCCGCCCCTACCTCCTCCAGGAATGCCACGGGGGTCCGCGCAATCGGCACGCAGAGGACTCTTTGAAGATGCTCAAGGGAGGGATCGACCCCAGCACAAAGAAGTTTGTGGGGAGGTCGGTCCCTCTGGTCTGGGATGGGTTGTGCTGGGCGTCCAAGGCGGCGTGACCCCTCTCGGATCTAATTATCCAACCTTTTACCCAGCACTGTTTTTCGCAGCTTTATTGCAGGCTTGGCCAACGGTAACAGACTGCTATGGAGCCAACAGGAGCCAACAGGAAGAGGAGGAAGAGGAAGAGAAGGAGGAAGAGGAGCCCCCAGCCTTCCGCGCTATTTCGGAAGCCCAGTGGTCCTCTGGCACCTCGAAAAGTCCACCGCCCCCCACTTGCTGGGGGTGAGAGGTGCGGGTGGGCTACAGGCCACGCTGAAGTTTGTGAAGGAGGGGTTATAGGGGGGTGGGGGGACGAGCTCGTCAACGCACCCCTACGGCCCTCGGAGCCTCCGGATCTACCACACGTGGCCTCCAAAATGCCCAGCATGGCTCAATACTGGTTTGAAGGTAGTCAGGGTTGATTGGAGAGGGCACGCGAGAGGACACAAGACCCTTCCGAGGGCCACATTGCCATAGGAATGTAAGAAGGCATGGGTCGCCGAGCTCAGGACAGAATGGTACCCTCGATTTGGCTGGGTCGACCTACTAATCAGTCTCGACGGTATACCCCCAAAAAGGTCCCAAAGAGGCCCCCAGAGGGCACCAAGAAGGCCCCGGGAGCCTCGACAAAGCTTTCCAGATTGCCGCCAAGAAGCCCCGCAACAGGCGCGGGGGAGGGGAAGATGAGGACAAATCCGCAACCGCTTTGGTAACAGAAAAGCAGCACGACTGAAAACGGCTAAGAACACATACGACGTCGGAAGCCGCACGTCTCCTCTTCTGGGAGTCGGCGGAGTGGCGTAAGCCTCGTGCGTAAACAAACGGCTGATATGTAGCATCTCTTTTGCCCCTGGATGCCAACTTCGGGCCTCGGGGCCGTCAAAAGCGGCTGAGGATGAAGCCGGCCCTGGAGAAAGGATCGTGAAATCCAGGACCAGATCGGAGCGCCAGATGTCTGGGGTGCTGCGGGCCCAAATCCGACCTCGCGAAAAATGCAGCATCGTCAAAGCAAGCGCGACCAGACGCCCAAACTCCATCTTTCTGCGGCACCTTTCGAGCCAGATCGATCCGCGAGGGTCCCAGGCTCGAAACGGGGCGAGCAAGCCCGGTGCGAAAAGATTGCGATGCCCAGATCTCTGGGGGGGGGGGGGGCCTCCCGAGGAACGGCCGGAGCCAGCCCCCTGGGCGGGACCCTCCCCCGGCAGCATGGACGCCTGTCGGGGAGCTGGTAGTGCCTCTGGTACCCGACGGCCGCCATGGCGGAGCGGGTGCCCGGCCGCCTGGGCCTCGGAAGCCGGGCGCGCCAGCGTCCCGAGTGGAAGGGAAAAAGACGGCGTCCCCGTCGGTCGGGAGAGGCGGGTCGACACAGGAAGCAGGAGGGCGTTGGAAGCAGGCTGAGCTGCCGCTCGCCCCGGGCGCTCAAGCTCAAAGTAGCTTGGGATCTGGGGATCCAAGAGGACCCACTTCCAGCGACCGACGTGTCACTGGGCCCAGGTCTCCGGCGATGTGTCTTTCCAATCCGGGCCTGCCTCCTCGATTTCGGCCTCTGCGGCTCGTTATCGGGCCCCGGGGCCATCAAAAATGGACCTGGGCAAGGGGTCGGGACCTCTGGTCGGCGATGGACAAACCTCCCGTTAGCAAACCACCCTTTAGAGAAAACGGCCTATGACCGAAACCGACTGGACGCGCAAAAATGACGGCCGCGACTTCCTCTCGCGAAACCAAAACGGCCAATTCTCTAATCGGCGTGTCTGGGTACCTCCGATCAGGGGACCCGCGTGGAAAAACACATCTCGGCAGATGTCTGGGGTCATCAACTTTCGGAGGTCCGCGCGGATTTCTTGGGTCGGAGCTGGATCCCCCCCTCTGCGCGCCTCCAGCGTGCCAGGGGCTGCGCCAAAGCCCCTCGTCAACACAAGATGTCCGCGCGGACCTCCGAGACCTCGTGCTGATTCCGTGTTCTGCTCTCCGACCGAAGCTCGGGTCGGACGGAAGCGGGGGGTGTAGTAAGGGGGAGGTTCGCCAATCAGCTTACGTAGCTGGTTTTCCAGCCGCTGGAGGCGCCGATGTGTGGAGGAAAGAGCCTGGCGGCAGGGCCGAGTCCAGCTGCATGCAGCAAGTTTCGCTTCCCCCTTCTCCAACACCCCCCCCCTTTCCGAAACATCCGACGTCGTGTTTTGTTCGACGTAGCTCCCCAAGTGTCAGGACCGCCTCCCAGGAATGTTGTTTTCGTCCACGGCCGTTTTTCGACGGCCCTGAGGTCTAGGAGAGGGCAGGGGCAGGAAATTGCGAAGCGCAGTCCGCCGCGATCTTTTTTCACGACGCGAAGCTCTGAGATCCGACACTGAGTAAAACATGTAGCATCGCGAGACGTCGCGACCATAACCAGATGTCCGCGGCACTTCTCGAGGCAGCTCGATCTGCGATGCTGCCAGGGCTCGGCGCGGGGCGAAAACGCCCGGCGTGAATAGACAATAACGCCTGGATCTCAGGGAAGGGGGCTCAATTCTCTTGCGTCGGCGGCTAGGCAGAGTAACTTGGCGGCGCGCGCAAGGGGGTGGAGGGAGGGGGGAGGGCCTCTTAGAAGGAGGCTGCTTCTTAGAAGGCGCCGGCCTTGCATCTACAGCCGAAAGGCCGCTCAAGGGGACGGGTCACGCCCGGAGAGCGCGTGGTGCGGCCGGCCCCGCCGGCGGGTCCGCGGCGGCTGCTGCACCGGGGGGCTGGCGGCGGCGGGGCGCAGTGCGCACTCCGCAGCGCGGGCGCCAGTGGGGTCCGAAGGTGCGACGTCCTGATTTTGTCAATAGGGAGCGCACAAAGGACGTACGCGCCCAACTATGTACATGAACACGGCCCCTTGACCCGCGAGACCGGCCGCGTGATACGAATATTCGCCTAATGCGAAATCTCGAAAACTGCGTGGATTCATGTACGTGTACGTCCTTCTTTCGCTCCTGATTCAAGAGGGTACCCCTGGGAAGCCCCGACCCCTTCCCCAGGGCCGGTTTTCCGTCGCGGGCCGTTCTCTGGCGGCCCTGGCGCCCTGCAGGAGCATCCGGACGCCGAATGTCAGCCCACAACCTGTCATCGTGATTTTTCCTGCGACGCGAACATGTCTAGCGTGGGCGCCTGAAATGGGTACGGAAAAAATGGGTACGATGCCCAACAAAAGCTGTCCAATACTGACACCAGCCGCGGGGGCGTTCAAGAGGGGGGCGTCCAAGAAAGGGGGGTGCGCAAATCATAGCCGTCGGCACGTGCCCGGCCCAAGGGGGGCTGAAGACGTATTGAAATAAGAAGCGGCGCCGTGAAATCAGGGGAGCTGTCGTGGCCCCCGCCATGATATGCCCCTTGTCATCACCCCTCTCTTGGCCGTCCCCGACATTTCCCGCATTTCCGACTCCTTCCTCTCATTCCTTCCGAAATTTCCTGGGTGCTCGTCTTCCCCTCCGGTGGGAATTCGACGAACATTTGTCTGTAAACGAGCGCGTTCCACTACTCGCAAGCGGCCTGGATCCACCGCGGGGATTCTACGGTCCAAAAAGGAAGACATGTTTTTTCCCCGGCCGCATACGAGTAGGCACTTCGCGAGTAGTGGAACGAGTTCGGTGATCCTGTGCGATATTTCCCCTCCTGAATTCCTTCCGCGCCCATCTCTGCCGTCCGGATCTGGGGGTCTGGGGCTCGTCCTCCGATCCAGGGGCCGGCCCGGGCCCGCAGAGACGGGGCAGGCGCGCAGGAAGGCGGCTCGCCCGCGCGGCCGCGGGACCGCGGCGGGGCCCCCGGCGAGGGGCCTGGGCGCCCCCCGCCGGCCTCGGGGGGTGCGCGAGGGGCTCCGCCGGCCCTGCGATGTGATGGCAGTGGCGTCAAAACGCACGATTTGTTCTGATGGGCAGGATGGGGGATAAGGGAGGATGGGGAGGTCCCCCTCTTCTTCCTCCTCCTCCTCCTCCTCCTCCTCGTCCTCGTCCTCGTCCTCGTTCTTGTCGTCTTCCTCGTCGTCGTCGTCGTCGTCGTCGTCGTCGTCGTCCTCGTCGTCCTGGTCGTCGTCGTCGTCGGCGTCGTCGTCGTCGTCGTCGTCGTCGTCGTCGTCATCCTCCTCCTCCTCCTCCTCCTGGAGCGTGGTCGAAGGCGCGCCACCGTCTATCCTCGCTCGCCGCCCGCTACCCGCAGCCACGCGAGCTGAGCTCGCACGAGAGGCCGAAGACTAAAAATTTCGTTGCCCCTGAGGGGACACCGGGCGCTAGCATAGCGGCACGAGCAGCATTGACGAGAAGATGACCAGCGGCGGCAGGTTCGAGAGAGCGTTGGGAAGGACAGCTGAAACCAAGACGAGAGACGGAATATTCAAGAAACGGGAAGGGTTGGATGATCAGCGCGAGAGCATACTGGACAACGGGGCACCAGGCCCAACAGTGCAATAATGAATCAGGGCCGCCGCGTCCCATCATACATTCATGGCGTGCAGCGTCGTGAAGATACATCGATGTGATCCAAGATCCTGAGACTGTCATTAGAACTGCTGTACTGAAGCTGATTGGCAGCGCCTGCAGACAGGCACGAACCAAGCTCCAATTGATCTCTGAATTTTCTTCAGCACACTCGGGGAACCAAGAGCGCAAAAGCACCGCGAAGGTCCCAGGGAGAGGGTTGGGGAAAAGCGTCGAACGCAGGCTTTCAGAGATCAGCCTTTGGAGCTTCAATGTAGGGCGTCGAGGCGCATCGTTCTCGAGAGGGGGCGGATGCAGGGCCTCGCGCGAAAGATTGACAGCAGAGCGGCCAGCGGCAGCGTAAGTTGGCGATTCTGGGGCGCCCTGAGCAGCTTGGAAGACATTCTCGACCAGCGGCGAAGTCTGCCACCACCTGGGAGACAGACGGCCAGCACCGATGTCCTGCAGAGACAAGTTAGCACGAGCAGCTCTCCCGAGCATCGAGTGCAAGTCCCTCCTTTCGGGCAACATGTGCATGGCGGTGCGCATGAGAGACGCAAGAGAGACATCGAGGATGCTAGGCGCGCGAGAGCCGCCCCAGGTGTGGAGGGCGAACCACCCGGCGCGGGGAATGGAGCAATGAGGGGCGCTGAACAGAGGGGCAAGAAGGGCGTGCTGGACAACGGGGAGCCAGAACCAGGAATCACGGACGGGGAGAGGCATGAACTGAGAGATGCAGCTGAGAGTCGGCACGGCTCGCTTGCTCTACAGATACTGGGAGACAGCAGTGGGGGAACGAGCACGGGCGATGTCGCAGCCGCGACCGTGCAATTTCAGAATTGGCGCGCCCCAGCTCTCTCTATTTCAGAGGCCCCGGGTCACAGGACCAAGCCGAGGTGAGTCAGAAACGAACGACTTGGAACGCGGGCAAATCTGGGATATTCTCCGCCAACCGTCATTTGATGGAATCGGCGATCTTTGGCGAGAAGGTCCCACGGAGAGGGGCGAAGAAACATTTAGTTCCTTTGAGCGTGAGGGCAGCAAGCTTTCTACTCAGATCGAAGGGTCTCTTCAGACGGTGAGGAACCTCGAGGGCATGTGGAGCTGGCCCGAAAGCATCAGCGCGAGCTCTGGCGAGTCTACGGGCCCTAGGGTTGGGCCCTAGGGTTCAGCTCGCGGCCAATGTCATCGAGGAATGGGTGCGGCGCAATCGCGTGGATCGCGCCTGACGCGGGGCGGCCCTGGATGATGCCGCTCTCTGTCATGAAAGCGAAGGCAAAGCTGTTCTCGCAGTGCATGAAGCGTCGCACGCGCGAGTACAGGCAGGAGAGGCGGTGCGAGAGAGCCGCGGTGAGGCGGAGCCGTCGAATACATCGGATCAGCCATTCATGCGCGATCGACGGGGAGGCCTGGCCGTAATCAGAACTCACGAGCGCGGGCTTGCGAGAGATGGGTCCATCATGATCTGCTGTCTACATGCTGTGTATGCGCGAGTAGGTGTCGAGCTTTATCATGTTGACGCCGAACCTACTTCCTGAGGTAAACCCACGTTGTATTTTAACGATAAACTCGTTCAGGGATCTGCTGAGGGATCGACACGCAAGACCTGTGATTATTTTGTTTGCCATATTTTCTCGGCCCCGGGGGCCTCGTTTGGGGCGCGTATCTGATCGCGGCGGTGCTGTCGTTTACTTCGCTGCCTTTCGGGATGAGCACTTCTCTGAAGTCGTTGAAACTGATGAACGGGGTATTTCCAAAGAGGATCCACCATGAGAGACAGTTGAACACCTCTGGGCCTTTCGGGGTGACATTGCCATGCTGCGAAAGGGGGCCCGTCGGTTCTGGAGCGGAGTGGGCGGGGGGCCTGAGGTGGAGCCGCGTGGGGCCCAGGATAGGAGGAGGAAAGTTCCGGAGATCAAGAGTCGCGCCGAACCGATCTAAATGCTTCTGGGCACTCGCGGTGTCGATCTGCCTTTTCTTGAAAACGCTGGGCCAGTGGTGGGCGGGCTGCTGCGTCATTTTTCCTGGCTCCGAGCAGGCCCCGTCAGCGTGTCGAACGCCTGCGCGCAAATTCGCCTGTCGAGCGGGCGCCGCAGACGGCTCCGCGAAGCAAGAGCACGCAGGCGGCGGCGGAGCTTCTTGGCAGTGCTGGCTGGTGTCTCCCTCTGCAGGCTGGCCCGAACTTCAGACTGCCCGCCGTCGGCCTCGCTGCGGTGGATCTGGTTCGACGCCAGCAGAAATTCAAAGACGTGCAGCTCGCGGACTGACCTCTCGAGGGCGTCCACCTCGAGGTAATGGCGAGCTAATTCGCGCGCAGCTCGGAATCTTTGTGCCGGACGGATATCTGGTCTCCCAACAGTTCTGCATATGCCTTTGATGATCGGGTGGCGAGAGGACAAAGACTCGGGGCGCTTCGCGATCATGGCATCCCTAGCCATCTGCGCGGCCTTCCTCATGATCCGTGTCTGGTCCTGTAGGGGGAGAGGGGGGGGGGCTTCGCGCCGTCACCCAGGGCCCGCGCCTTCTCGAGGTGGTCGGAGTATTCGTGCTGCTGAAAAATTGTTTTCGGGATAGGTCTCTCCCCGGGCGGGATCGGGGGGCTCGCGGCAATGGGCGCAGGCGGCGGCGCGTGGTCCGAGAGGCCCTTGACCTGGAAGACCTCGGGGAACTTACTCACCTGGCCACTAGAGAACAGCTGGTTGCAGACCCGTCCAAAAAAACCCAGAAATATACGGTCAGTGATGTTAAGGGTGCCCGACGCCTTGCTGTAGTGGGCGGGGTCAGGGGTGTCAATCTCGGTCATGCTGGCTAGGATAGGGCTCATAATCGGGTCCTTGGAGGCTCGCCAGTCTCTTGCAATGCTCATTGGATCGACGGAGGGGTCTGCGTCCAGGTGCCTGGGAGGCTTGTCGGCCAGGTTCAAATCACCGGCGACAGTCGCCAGCCAAGTGGAAAGGGAAGGGGTAGCAGCAGCAAGACGACCGCGAATAGCGTCGTCGATGCGTTCACGCTGGAGACGAGATAGACCATGAATGTGCAGGTTGAGATGCGAAATCCAGACGTTCTCTGAAAACGTGATAACGGGTTCGATGGCACGACCACGAACGTGGGTGGTAGACTGAACTTGGAGAGGCCTTTTCGTGTACTTGTCGAAGTTAGGGTACATAGAAATTACTCCACCCGCGGTGGGGTTGGCGCAGAAAGAGGAGACGAAGGAGAAAGAGGAGTTGGCGTGGACAGCTCCTGTTGTTCGCCAGTGGGAGCTGCGACGCAGAAGCGCTCCCATTCACCGTCAGCGCGCCGAAGAGCCCCGACGGCTTGCTGCACTTTGTGGGCACCGTAGGAACGGGTGCCCTTGATCCGCAGCACGTACTTGTTGGACACAGGGTCGCCCTCGATGACGAAGTCGTCCTGCTCCAGCTGGGCTCGAGAGAGCCAATCAGATAGTGAGGCCAGCACGGCGGCCTTGGCAGTGGAGAACTTGAAGCGGAGGAGCAGGATGGTGGGGTCGATGTTGCGATTGAAACTAGGAGCAGGGAGAGGAGGAACATGGCGGTCCGACCTGACCCCCCCGAGGGCGAGCTGGAGGGCGGTGATCTGCGCCTCGAGGTGGTCGACGCGCTCCTCCTGGGCAGACTGGCGCTTCTCCATGGAGCTGAGGCGGAACTCGAGCTTCTCCTCCACCGCGTCCATCCCGCTTGTGACAGAGGCGGACAGAGCAGAAAGCGACGCCTGCATAGTGGCCAGGGGCTCCAGCATGCGCTTCTTGGTGTTAGTGACCCGCAAGCGGAGTCCTTCGAACTCTTCAATGCCCACCTGGTCGTATCGCGCTCGCTGTCGTCGTTCAAACTCATCATTCTCCTGCGAGGCCGCGGCAGCCATGGCAGCGCAGCGAGGCGACTGAGGGGACTGTGTCTCAGTCCTGACCGAGTCGTAAGACAGAGATGGACGAAACGCCCGCGGCGCGCGTCCAGGCGCCCCTTCGAGGTTTGTCGCGCGGGGCGGCGGAAACAAAAACTCGAAACCCTTGAGCCAAAACGGCTACGGACCTCCTCCTCTTCTTCCTCCTCCTCCTCCTCCTCCTCCCTCTCCAACCTATGGTAGTGGTGGTAGAAAATCGGCCTATCATGTCAACCACGTTTTTCGGCTCGGCACCCGGGAACTACTCGAATGAACACACAGACCGCTGTGGCTGCGCGCGGGCCTGTGGCGCGGTGAAAACCCCGCGGGTCTCGGGCGCGGCGAAGGGCCGGGGCGCCCCGCTGGCCTTGTGGGGCGCGACGCGCTCGCGTCGTGAAGCGATCTCGGCGGGAGGTTCTTGACAGTTTCCTGCCTCTGGGAGCCCTCGCTGGGCTCCTCCGAAACTGTCAGAACTCGGCTCGTGATGAAAGCTGGCTCTGGGGAAAAGGTCTGGCCTTCCGCGGAACGCGTATTGAAAAAACATCGGACGTCGCATACCTGGGTCAGCGTAGCTTTTCCCTTCTTCTTCTTCTTCTACAGAAGATGCATGTTCTTGTTGAGCTACGCTTGGGACGCCTGTTTTACTGTTTGACGAGTGTGCTGCTCCAGCCAAACTCCCGGGCGCGCGCCCAGCGCAAGGAGCCCATGCGCTGGGGCCGGCCTCGGGTGTACACACACACATATATATATATATATATATATATGTATGTGCAAGGGAGAATGCAGGTATGTATGTTGTACGTATGTATGTATGCATGTATGTATGTATGTATATATGTGTGTACGTATGTATGTATGCATGTATAGTTGTATGTTTGTATGTTTGTATGTCTGTATATATATATATATATAAATGTATAGTTTTTGTTTGTAGTTTTTGTTTTTGTTTTTGTTTTTGTTGTGGTTGTGGCTGTGGCTGTGGTTGTGGTTGTGGTTGTGGTTGTGGTTGAGGTTGTTGTTGTTGTTGTTGTTGTTGTTGTTGTTGTTGTTGTTGTTGAATTCTCATTTCTGACGAATAATTATTGTTGATCCCCCCACCGGTGCATACTGTTTTTTCTCAATCAAAAGGTGCCCCTCGACGCTCGCACCCGGTTTTTTGACAGGGAAAGTCTTCCTGCTCAAACTGGCCCCCTGGCCCCCGGGTTACAACAACAACGGCTCCCGCTTGAGACGTCCTTACAATTTAGCCAGGACCCCCGCTCCCGCCCGAGACTTCCTCGCATTCTATTCAGGAATCGCGCTCTCGCTTGGGACTCCCTTACAATTTATGCAGGAATCGCTCTCCCAGCGCTCTGGAATCGCGCTCTCGCTGGAGACTTGCTTGCAACTTACTGAAGAATGGCCTTGCGTGGGAATTTCCTGCAAATTGCCCAAGCGCCGCGCTCCCGACACCCAGGCACCCAGGAGTCGCGCCCGTTGTGGCCCCATGTGCATGCCCTTCGTGGCCCCGCTGTCGGCATTTGTGTCCCCCTCACTGTCCTACGTGGCCCAGTTGTTACCCCCAGTGGCCCCATAGTTGCCTTCTGTGGCCCCGCATTATCTGCACTTCGTGGCCCCCGCTCGTTCGCGCTCTTCGTGGCCCCATACGCATTCCCTTCGTGTCCCCGCTGTCGCCCTTCGTGGCCTACTTCGTGCCCTTCGTGGCCCTGCTGTCGTTCTCTCTCGCTCTCGCTTTCGCTCGTCGTCGCCGTCGTCGTCGTCGTCGTCTTCGACGTCGTCGTCGTCGTCGTCGTCGTCGCCGTCGCGGTCGGTCCCCTGTCCGTCCCTCTCGGGGTCGGGTCGACGGTCCGCGGCCGCCCCGCCGATCAGCGCTGCCGCTGTCCAGGGCGACGGTCCGCGGCCGCCCCGCCGCTTGCCGGGGCCCGGCCTGCAGGGAAGAAAGGTATACCCCCCAAAAGGGGTTCGATCGAAGACGAAGTGGGCGGGTATCGAGGGTTTGGGAAGTACGTGAAATTGGACACTCGAGCATATAAGGGCGAACAGTCTTAAGATTATTGTTATTGTTGAATTCTCATTTCTGAAGAATAATTATTGTTGATCCTCCCTCACCGGTGCATGCTGATTTTTTCAATCAAAGTGTGCCCCTCGCCGCTCGCACTTTTTTTGACAAAGAAAATCTTCCTGCTCAAACTGGCCCCCTGGCCCCCGGGTTACAACAACAACGGCTCCCGCCTGAGACTTCCTTGCAATTTAGCCAGGACCCCCGCTCTCGCCCGAGACTTCCTCGCATTTTATTCAGGAATCGCGCTCTCGCTTGGGGCTCCCTTTGTGTCGGGCCTACGCCTCCGTGGAGGGGCTCACCGACCGACGGGTCCGCGCCTCCGCAGAGGGACACACCGTCGCACGGGTCCACGCCTCCGCAGAGGGACTCACCGTGGGAGAGGGCCCCTGGCGCCTGGGCAGGCGCCTGGGGCGCCGCATGGCTGCCCAGCGCGGCCCGAGCAGCAGAGCAGTCATCCCCCATAGGGGCCCGATCCGCGCCGCCGCCCGCCGCCGCCGCAGCCGCCGTCGCAGGGACCACGTGCGGTCCCGCGCCCTGGTCCAGCTCCGCCAGCAGCACAGAGACCTGCTCGGCCTCCGCGTCCGCGTCGCTGGTCCAGCGCGGCGCCTCGTCGTGGTACAGCTTCGGCTCCGCCTCCACGCCCAGCCAGCCGCCCTGGTGGTTGAGCGGCACGAACATCGCAGCATCGGCGCGCAGCCCTGCGGGCACCGCAGGGCCACCAAGGCTCGCGCCGTCGCGTGCCGCCTGCGCCTCCAGGAGCAGGCTGAGCAGCTCCCCCAGCATGGGAATGAGCGCGGTGAACTTGTGGCCGATCTCGTCGGCGTTGCGCTTGGCGTTCAGGTCTTCCTGCAGCTGCCTCTTGTCAGCGGTCAGCCTGGCAATGGCCGAGTCCGCCGCCTGGCGGGCACGGCCCCTGCGCAGCCGCCTCTCCGCTGAAGAAGAGGGGCGCCCTCCGTCTCCAGGGGCGCCGTCCCGCATCATGCCAGTGTGCTGCGGCGGCTTCAGCAGGCCTCCCTGGGCCCCCCCTCAAGCCACGGGTCGTGGTGGCACCGCGGCTGCCCCGCCGCGCCCCGCGCCGGTACGTGCGCCGCAGGCGGCCAGCGAACGCGATGCCGGGCGGCCTCAGCGCCTCGCCGCGCCGCGGGCTCGCGCCCGCCGCCTCGGCAAGGGGATCATGGGCCGCCGCGGGCGCCGCGCCGCGGGCTGCAAGGCTTGAGATGGGGGTGACGTGGGGGAGGATGGGGAGGAAAAGGAGGAGGAGGAGGAGGAGAAGGAGGCGGAGGAGGAGGAGGAGGAGCAGCAGGAGGAGGAGGAGGAGGAGGGGCAGGAAGGGGGCTTCAAGACGGCGCTAGAGGCCCTCAAGACGGCCCAAGAGGCCTCCAGGACGGCTCAGGGAGGCCCCGAGACGGCCCAAGAGGTCTCCAAGATGACCCTTCAGGGTTCCAAGAGAGTCCCAAGACGGCCCAGGGCGGCTCCCAAGACTCGACAAGCGCCTTCCACTAATCGCAAATGGCCTGAATTCGCCGCGGGGGATTTACGCCCCCTTATACAAAGGACTCTGTTTCTTCCTGAAGTTTGCGAGTAGGCACTTTGCGAGCAATGGAACGCGCTCGGTGAAAGACGGACTCCGAAGGCTGGGTGAGACGGCTCCCATGGCGGACTCCTTGCGTCGTGTAATAAACAACCACAACGGAGGGTGTCCCACACTTTCGGCTTCTGGGGGCCGCTTGCGGTCCCCAGGACCGTAAAAAAACGACCCAGGATGAAGCTGGCCCGAGGGAATTTATCCGGACCTCTGTGGGTCCACGCTGCGAGCCCAAAAACCACGACGTCGGGGCTCTGTGGGGAGGCAGGAGGTAGGCGAGGCAGAGAGGGGAGGGAGGGGTCAAGGAGCGGGACGGGGCGGAGAGGGGGAGCAGGGAGGGCAAGGATCGGGGGGGACGAACGGGTAGGATAACAAAGGGCAGGGTGAAGAGGCAGCTCACGTAGCTGGTTTCTGCCTCCTGGCGCCAGGAGGCACCCATACCATGTATCGAGGAATGGGCCCGGCGGCGGGGCGGAAACCAGCTGCATGCAGCAAATTTCGTAACCCTCTCTTTCCCTGTCCCCCCCCCCCCCTTTCGTGCGGCCCGAGAGGATGAGGGTCAGGGAGAGGGGGGATGCGGCAGGGGACAAGAGGAGCCCACTTGCCCTCCCCCTCGGGCGGAAGGTGATCCTTCTCCAGGAGCGCCCGCTTCTCCTCTCCCTGGATCTTGAGCCAGGCCCGGTCGTCTGCGAAGTCCTCGATCGCCTTCAGTACCGAGTCGATGTCCCCGCGCGTCGCCCTCTCGACGACCCACTTGTACAGCTTTGCCTCTCCACCGCCGCTGCTGCTGTTGCTGCTGCTCCTCCTTCCTCAAGTCCTCCTCTTCCTCCTCTTTCGCCGCCGCCTCATCCTCAGCCTCCTCCTGCTTGATTCCTCCTTGGTCCTCCTGTGTGCAGGATGATGAAGGAACAGGGAGTATATAGGATGGCGGATGATGCTGATGATGCTGATGATGGTGATGCTGATGATGATGGTGATGCTGATGATGATGACCATGCTGACGATGACGATGATGACAATGATGATGATGCTGATGATGATGATGATGGTGGTGATGGTAATGATGCTGATGATGGTGATTACCATGATGATCATGGTGATGCTGATGACCATGGTGATGCTGCTGCTGATGATGAGAATGATGCCTTTGATAATGGTGATGATGACGACGATCATGATCATGATGGCGATGATGATGACGATGCTGACGGCGATGATGATGACGACGATGATAATGATCATGGTGATGATGATGGTGATGATGATGGTGACGATCCTGCTGCTGCTGCTGATGATGATGATGATGCTGGTGGTGACGTTGCTGATGAAGGATGATGACGATTATCACGACGAGGAAGATGATTATGAGGAGGAAGAGGACAGGTGTAAACCCACTGCGCATCAACGAGGTTGCAATTGCGCAGCCGGGGAGCCCCCACAAACTTGTTTTGTCGCGAGTTCACATACCATGTCAGATCCTGCTTCGCCATCACCTACACTGGCTCGCAACAGTTGCAATACCTCGCCGTGGTCTGACTCGCGTTCGCCTTGCAGTATTCGCGTGCGCGGCAAGCCGCTGTGGTGTCGAGAAGCTGCCACGCCTGCCACGCTTTGCGAGCGTGCGACATATAGCGCCCCCACTCCCTCCGCACCGCCTGTGCTGTCGAGAAGCTGCCATGCCTGCCACGGTTTGCGAGCGTACGACGGGTAGCGCCCCCACCTCCAGCGCACCCCCTGCAA